ATCCTCAGCTCTCCACCAGCCACTGCAAATGCAAAAAGCCAAGATGTCTCCCCCAGCCAAAGCAAGATGGGAACCCAGCACCCCCCCCACCCCCCAGCCACCTGCTGTAGTAATGAGCGGGGAGTGCTGCTTTACACAGTGACTCTAAACCAGGATTAATGGTGAATCCCCAGCCAACCCCCCCATCCCCAAGCCTGCCCTTTGCACCCTAGTCCAATCAAGACAGCCAGAGTGGGGAACCCGCTCTGGGGGGTGGGAGCATCAATATCTAGGCCCCCTCGCAACTTCCTCTACTTCCCCTATATTCCACTACCTCCCCATCTTTGTTGGGGTGGAGGCAGTGTTGGGCTATTGCAGGCAGGAAGGGAGGGTTCTGCAAAGTGGAGGGGACAAAGCTAGCCAGGGGATGGAAGCAGCTGTACAGGGAAGTGGGGGAGCCATGGGAGAAATCGGGGGGCAATAAAGAGGTGCTAATTTTGGAGGTGAAGGGTCAATCCTGGATTTTTCCCCCCTTACTTCATTACAAAAAGCCCCACTCCAAAATACCCCTCTGTATGGAGTGGGGGTTCTGTGTTGACAGACTTGGGGTGGGAGGGGGAAGGGTGGCTCTGTATTGACAGACGGGGAGGGGGAAACGACTAAGACTCGCCCAGCTCCTACAGAAAGCAGACTGCCCTAGTTCCCCAGCCGCAGCGCTCTGTAACTGGGGGGGGGGGGAAAGAGACAGAGGGGGGATTACCCAACCCCCACAGCTCCTGCCCCTTATGTAGCCCTATGCCTCCAGCCCCTTCTCTACATTCCCATCTGAGAGGCCATCCTGTTATGTCCCTTTTCCATCCTCCAGCAAATTCAACTCCCCCCGGTACCGCATAAACAACAGCCTGATTTGGGGGGGGGGCACAGGGAACAAAGCCCCCCATACACACTCTCACCCTCCAAAATTTGCTTCTTCACCCTCCCCCCCCCAAATCCTAGACCTGGGTCCAACCTGAGTCAGTCCAACTGACCCTCACCCCCACCCCATTGCCTTGCTTTCTCCCATATTCCCATGCACCCTTTCTTTGCCCCCTTTTCCTGCCTCCTCTCCAGGGGAATCCTAGCCCCACATCCACTCCTCTTCCCTGGGATGAAGGAAAACCCCCACTGCCTAACCCAAAGACATCCCATATCCCCCTGCCAGCCCCCCCCCCCATTTTAACAACAAATAAATTATTTGCCTGATTTCTGTCCCCACCATAATCCTCTTTTGAGGAATCAATGTGGGGCATGTACCTCCCTTAACTACCCAACCACCCTCTAGGGAGCTATTCAAGTGCCCCCACTAGAAAATCCATGTTGGGGGGCCCCCAGCCTGTGACCATTTGCCTCCCATAAAACACCCCGAAAGAGGTACCATTTTGGGGGGCTTAGATCATAGCCCCCACTCTAGTCACCACCTCCATTTTAAGGCAATTATGAGCCCCCAGCCTTCCCCAAATCCAATGATACTTCCCATCCTCTCCAAATCTATAGCTCCCCCAAATCGCCTTCCTTGTAGGGCTAGTCCATGACACCCCAAAATTCCCGTGCCTGACACCCCGTTATTCCCCTAGAAAAAAGGAAGGGGTTGGGAGAGGGTTAAGAGCTCCTGTTAGGGACCCCTCAGTTTCTCCCGCTATATCTGTGCCCCCAACTCTCCCTCTTTTTAAGGGCTCCTGCTAGCAAATCTATAGCTCCCCCAAATCGCCTTCCTTGTAGGGCTAGTCCATGACACCCCAAAATTCCCGTGCCTGACACCCCGTTATTCCCCTAGAAAAAAGGAAGGGGTTGGGAGAGGGTTAAGAGCTCCTGTTAGGGACCCCTCAGTTTCTCCCGCTATATCTGTGCCCCCAACTCTCCCTCTTTTTAAGGGCTCCTGCTAGCGAGCCACCTGCCCCAGCTGGTGCCGGTGCGCCCCATGAATTGGTGAGTGCGGGGGTTCCACACAAACTCCCTCCACTCCGCCATGAGTTGCCCGCAGGTTTTCTTCTCCTTCTCGATGGCCATGGTGAGAGCTGCGGCAGGACTGGTGGGGGGTCCCCTGGCTGCGAGAAGAACTGGAGCAAGGAGCCCTAGATCCCCTGTTCGAGAGAGAAAGGGGGGGGGGGGGGCTGAGACTGCGGCTACAGCAGCGAGATGCCGGCTCCGCAGCTGATGAGCAGGGCAAGGCAGCGGTAGCGGCCGGCTGGGGGGGTGCTATTTATCTCGTTCCACAGGCCCTGCCCCTCGTGCATATGCAAATGAGCTCTCCCGGGGCCCAGTTGCTCATTCAGGTTTTGCGGCCAGTCAGAGGGCGGGGCTTAATGTGTGTGTGTGTGTGTGGAGGGGACGTCTCCCCTTCCCTCCCCCGTAAGGAAAAGGGGCTGCCCTCTGGGGTGGGGGAATAGATAGATAGATAGATAGATAGATAGATAGATAGATAGATAGATAGAGAAGTGTCTGGGATAGAGAGGGGGGATGGATGGGGCAGACAGACAGACAGTCAGTCAGTGAAGTGGGCTACAAATGCAACAAAGAACCAGGTAGTCACAGGTTGAAGAAATGGAGTGGCCATCAAAGACACTCCTCACCTGACCCACCCTTGAGACTAAGGCCAGGCAGGCAGGCAGAGTGAGTGAGTGAGTGAGTGGGTGGGTGGATGGATGGATGGATGGTGGGAGGCATATGGGATTAGGTGGTTGTAGGGGAGGGTGGATGGCATCAGGGGAGGGGCAGATGTGGGAAACCATTTGGCTGTGCAGAACAGCATGGTCTGTGGGGTCAGCACCCCAGATCCCCCCCCCCTTCCCAGCTCTGTCCTTGAGGCTTGGCCTGTTGCCAGCTGCCAGCTCTGGCCACTAATGAGCAGATGCCGACAGAGGAGCCAGATAAGATCGGGGCTGTCAAACGGGGCCCATTCAGTGCTGAAGGACACGACCTGCATGGGGGGAAGGAGGGTGCACAGAGGCTCCCAACAGGCTGAGGACAGGGCACGCTTGGGGCCAGTAGTGCCCCCCCATCCCCATGCATCCTTTCTTTCCCACAGACACCCCTCCGCCCCTCCCACCATCTGCACGCTGAGGTCTGGTGCAATCTGCCATTCCTCCCAGGGCACAGCCCTTAGATTTCAGTGGGGGCAGGGGAACAGGGGGAAGGGTTCATCACATTGTAGTGTAGCCAGGATCTTCCCAAGCTTTGCCAAGGGTCCCCTCTCCCTTCAGGGGTGGGGCAGAATGCATCCATGGCTTGCCCTTCATCTCCTGCCCATGGGACCGGGGAGCGAGGGGGTTGGTAGAAACATGGGACATGGGGATCCTTTAGCTAAGGGGGCAAGTCTTGCAGTGCATGGGTATGGCCCAGGAAAGGGATGTGACTTTGTTGGCTAGGAGGTGTGGTCACAGAAGAGATGAAGTTGGGGGCTAAAGATTTATTATTAGGGTCATGCAGGGAGTTAGCTCCGTGACTCCCCTCCCCCCATGTCCCTCCCAGAGCTGTGGAGAGAACCCAGGAGTCCTGGCTCCCAGCCATTGTGTGTGGAAATGGATGGGAGTTGAGGTGGTCTGTAAGTTGGGGGACTGGTGGAGAGGGGTATCTGTGTGTTGCTGTCCTCTCTCCCACCCCCCACAGTAAGCTGGAGCAAAGAACCAGGAAGTGCTCAGCACCCGGTTCCTTTTCCCAAACTAGTTCAACTGGTCCAGCCAGCTGTGGGGCAGCCACTGGCTCAGCAGGGATTGACGGCAGCCTGGGACAAATGCACCCTGGTTCTCCCTGTCCCCAGCTGTCCCCTGCCCTCCATCATAGCCCTTTTCTCACTTCCCTCTGCAGCCAAACAATAACATTGGCACAGCTAGTGCCTCCCTAGCTGGGTAGAGAACCCAGGAGTCCTGGCTCCCAGAACCCTCTGCTCTAACCTACCAGACCCCACTCCCCTCCCAGAGAACCCAGGAGTCCTGGCTCCTTCCCACACCCTCTGGCTCCAACCACTAGCTTCTACAGCTGTGTTTCATCCTATTACCCGGACACCTGGTTTCTATGTCCTCCCTTCCCTCAGCCTCCAGACCTCTAGGTTCAGTCACATACAGCCGCTTCCCCCTATCATGGACATTTAGTTTCTAACTCTTGTATCTGGACCCCTGGGTCCTATCTCTCCCCTGCATCCCCATATGCAGATCTGGGTCTCTGTACCCCCCTTTGTACTTAGCCTCTCGTTCCACCCACTACCCTGCTTGGGTTCTAGCCTCTCTCCTCCACCTCTCCTGACACCTGGGTTTGTCTCCTTCCCCCTCCCCCTTTCACCCACCCCGGATACTTGGGTTTTATGCCCACCTCCCTCCCCTTCCCCCCAGAGATAGTGCCTAGGGAGAGGAAGTGCCTGGGGAGAGAGTCACCCTCCAAAGTCTGGGTGGCGGGTGAACAGGCTTTCCTGACCCCTTCCCTTGTGGAGCAGGGAGCATGTGAGTGATAGTAACAGTACTCAACCACCCTTTGATCCCCTTATAGGATGGGACTCACACTGGGAGCCAGGACTCCTGGGTTCCTTCCCTGGCTCTGGGAGCGGAGTGGGCCCAGTGGCCCCTAGGATGAGGGAGGGGCGGGACAAGAACATACCAGTTTGAATTAATGGGAGTCAGACACTTGGCATTTGACCCAGTTGCGTGGGGAAGAAACTGACCCGCCCTATAAGTGGCCTTGGGAGCTGCTGACCCACTGGGGAAAGAGGGAACTGGGTCAATCCATCCTACACTGAACTATGTGGCATAATGGTAGGGGCTGGGAACCAGGACATCCCCTGGATTCTCCCCTGGTTCTGGGGGGAGAGCGGGGGCTGTTGGTTAGAACAGGGAAACTTGGAGCCAAGACTCCTGAGTTCTCTCTCTGACCTTGGGATTCTAGTGGATTAGAGAGGGTGGGGAGGGCTGGGAGCCAGGACACCTCGTTTTTAATTGTAGCTCTGTCCTGACTCACTGCATAACCTTGGGCACATCTTGCCCTTTCTCTGTGCCTCAATTTCCCCAACTGCGAAACTGGGGTAATGAGAGGCTGCCTGAAGACCACTCATCTTTTCCACTTGTACTCACCCCTCAGCCAGGTTCCTGGGCAGGACCGGCACTGACCCAGCATACGATGCAAACAACACCCCTTTCCTGCCAAGTGATTCAGCCAGCTGGAAATAGCCGGTTTATGGGGAAGACAGGTGAGATGCCCGGAGCCCAACCTCAGGGCCCAGCCACCATCCCGCCCGGATTGGTTGCATTCCACCACGGCAAGCAAGGTTGCCCTAGATTCTTGGCGTGGCTCACTAGGCAGGGAGCTGGCATGCTATTCCAGTGGGGTTTGGGGGTGCAGCTGGTATTTTGGGGTACCAGATCTAGATAGCTGCTCCGGGTTCAGGGATCTTAAAGGGGGTGAGATTCAGATTTGGGACTGAAGGTTCAGGAAGATCAGTGGTGTCTATGGGAAGTCACATTTTGAAGTAGGGTGGGGTTCCCTCATGATTTGGATAGAAAGTCCAGGGGGTTGGTAAGCGGAGTTTTTCCAATGGCTCAGATGGAGTTTGAAGGGTCCGGGGCAGGTTTCAGGAACAGGTTTGCAATGGTCAGGGGTGACCAGGAGGGAGCTTGGAGAACTTTGGGGGTGAATTTGCGGGGGTGACCATTCAGGGTATCTTGGTGAGTTTGGGGGATGCAATGAATTGGGGGGAGCTCTGAGCGAGAACTCAGGAATCTTGGCTCCCAGGCCTTCTCAGGGGATATGATGGGAAAGCTTTTGGAGAAGGGTGGTGTATTGGAGGAGTTTGTGGGGGCTGACCCCTGATTGTGGGGGCTGTGGTCAGACAAGACAGCACCCCAGACACAAGGCCTGGCAAGTAGTTCTCACAGCCCCAGGGGACCTCTCCAACACAGTCCCCCTTCAAAAACCCTCTGAAAAACAAAGTCACAATAAATGGCCCAATGTCGCAAGGTTGGGTGTGTGTCCAAGGGAGGGGTTGGCCTCAGTGGCCTTCGGATTAAGGGGGGTAAAGTCCAGTCTGTCTCCCTGGCTGGCATGGATCAGCCAGCCTACAGAGGGAGTGGGAGCTAGTAGTTAGAGCAGGAGGGCTGGAAACCTAGGCTCCTGCTGTCTCTCCCTGGCTTTGAGAAGGTAGTTGGGGCTGACAAGGTAGAACAGGGGGGCTGGGTTTCAGGACTCCTGGGATTTCACTCCAGCTCTGAAAGGGCAGTGGAGGCTGGTGATTAGAGTACAGAGGAGCTAAGAGCCAGGACTCCTGAGTTCTGTCCCTGGCTTGGAGGGGCGTGAGGGAGGTGAAGTGAATTAGGGTGGCCAGATGGTTTCAACAAAAATACCAGGCACACTTGACATTACATCACAATCTACACTGCATATTGTTTAGAACATACTAGACTTTTATATTTTCTCATTTATATTTTCTCAATTTGTTTCCCAAACAGAAAGCTCAAATACTTTCAAACCCAGACACCTGGCAACCCTAGCTGAAGACTGAAGAGGGAACGTGTCGCATTGGACTGGCCAGCTTGGTAGGTCTCACAGTGCCAGCAGCAGGGGCCTGATCTGAGCATCTGGCTGGGCTAGGTCCCACAACCTCGCCCACCTCTCTGCCCTCATTCTCAGGCAGGCAGGGCCTGATGCTGCTGACTCTGGGCCCAGCTGGACCCAGATTCTTCAAGCCAGATCTGGATTGTGGGAGATCTGTCCCAGAGGCCTGGGACTGAAAGGCCATCCCATAGGGCTGTGGCAAGACAAACAAAGCCAGGGCCCTTCCGTGTGCCCCAGATTGCAGCTGGATTTAATATTTCCTGGTGTAAACCAGGGGCAACTGCACTGGGACTGGTTCCCCTTCACTAACCTGGTGCCAGTCAGGAGTCACTCCACCAGATAAGACAGAGATTAAACATTTGCTGGCTCAGGGCAAAGAGTCAGTGACATATTTTTCTGCAAAGCAGAGTGAAAGCTAGTGGTTAGCGCCAGGGAGGTGGCTGGGAGCTAGGACTCCTGGGTTCTTTTGGGCTTATAGGCTGCCAGGGGAGGGAGGACAGTGGCATCCCCTCAGGCTCCCAGCTGCTTTTATTAGCGCTCCCAGGGCCAGCAGCAGCCCAGCCCGCTGCCCCCCCCCCCACCAGAACAGGTCTTTCCTGGGCAGGTGCATTAGGAGGCTTCTTGTGCTCAAGTGCCCTCTGGTGGTGAAGGGCAGAACTGCGCCCAGCCAGAGCTGCAGGGGCAGACAGGGGTGAGGGATATGGAGGGCCTGGGGGTTCTGGGTAGGGAGGGTGGAACTGCCCCCCATCATAGCAAGGTGGGACCCCCAAATTTGCCCTCTCCTATCAGCACATCAGCCGGCCCTGCCTCCTTCCTGGGCACTCATGGGCAACACCCCCCAGGGAGAGAACTCAGGCTCTAGGAAAGCAGTGGGGGCTGGTAGGTTAGAGCAGTGGGCTGGGAGCCAGGACTCTTGAGGTCTCTCCTGGGGGCTGTTTTCTGTCCCTGCTGGGCTGGCCAGTGCCCTTTGATTCCCCAAAGCTGGGCAGAAGGGATTTGGCTAATGGCCTTTGACAGACCCTGGGGCCTGTGGGAGCTAATCTGGGGCGCTAATGAAGCCCCGGGCAGATTGCCTGGCCCCTGGGCTAATTCCCAGAGTCGGGCGCAGGCGGTGGCTGGGGGCGGGGG